GTTTCACATTGTATTTTTTGTAAACATTCCCGTGATTTTATAGCAATAATTTTGACTTACCCTCATATAAACCATGCTGTCATGAGCATTCTTATGTTTCCCATTGTACAGACAAAAGTGTTTTAGTATCAAATTTGTGTTTCTTTATATACATGTTTTAGATACTATTCCTGTGTTAGTTTTACAATTTACAAATAATGTTTTCCCAGGTGTGGCTAACCATTTCACTTTTTTCTCCTTTTAAAGAGTGCTGGGACAATGCTGCAAAGAATGGCGAGGTTGATTGCCAGGGTCCATCAGGTGAGTCCTAGCTGACTTGAATTCTTTGTGCCGGTCTGTTTAGGGAGATTTCCTGGTTTCCGCTGGATTTCGTGTGCACAGGATGAAATGCCGTCTGCAGAGCATCAGCATCTCAGAGCTCTCATTGGCCAGTGTCCTCGCCTCCATTTCCCTGCCATGCACTTCATCCCCGGCCGCCCTCAAAACCTTCAAGTAAAAGGTCTCGAGGAGTAGCTGTGCCTGAGAATTTACCATGTAATAGGGAAATCCTTTTCTTTCTTTTTCTTTCCAATTGCTATTACCCTTTCTTTAGTAGGATTACTAGTTATCATCCATTAAAGAAATAGCTAAAAGAAAAATGCTTTGCCAGTTCAGACCTTTTGCAAACAGTTGGCCAGTACACCCTCCAAGTGCACAGACACTCAGCAGCCCGAGATGACTCATTTCAGTCATAACACTGAGCATTTGCTGGGGCTCACTTCATGCCAGGCTTCATTCCCTGTAGCCCTTCGGATCCGCCCAGGAGACAGATAGCAGTCCCGTTTCTGTGTTGGGTTACATCTTCTGGTTCGTGTTTTTAAGAACCACACTGTTCCCAGGACTGTTAAGAGTGGAGTGGTGGTGGTAGCAGCAACCAAGAGGCGCGTCTAACCTGGGTTCATAGGGTCCAGAAGACATTCTGCCAGAGCCAAGGCCTGAAGGCTAAAGACAGAGGCAGAACACTGGGCACTTTGATCAGATCACTTAATTGCCACTTAGATATCCTGCAGAAGGAGCCTTTCCTTGGGAGGTCATGACAAACCTCTGAATGTAAAATAAAATCAAAGTAAGAATCAACATCGAGGTGGATTCTGGCCCCGAATTACCATCTGAAAGGACAAAAATGTCCCCATCTGAAGTACCAAAGAAGAAAAATATCTTGAGGTCAGACTGTGGAGAGATGTCAGTGAGAAAAAATGTTGTGGTTTTTATAGTTTGTCTCAAAGTGACCTGGATTGACTCACAATGCTGCTCTTTCGAGAATTGCATGCATAATGCTCATTCTGGAACTGCAGAGGCAATTGTGGATATGGTTGTTTTTCCTGGAAACAACAAACTAGCTGGCTGGTGCCATATATTACACTAAGAAGTAAGGAATCCATTTTGCTAGCTTTAATTTGCTACAAAAAGCATAACTTTAAAAAAAAATCATTAGATTAGTACAGTAACAGCACCACCTTGTGGCTCTTATATATCTTGACAGGCACTTTTTTTTCTTTTCTTTTTTTAATTGGTATTTTTTAAAGAAACAGGATGCTTCCTTTGCAATAGACTGCTAGAGAATATTCAGGATGCTATGCTGAGGTTGCAATGACTAATCAGTAGCTTAACACAACAGAAGGTGTGTGTGTGTGTGTGTGTGTGTGAGATTTCTGTTGCTAGTTTTCAGTGGGGTCTGCAGCTAAAGGGCAGAATAGGTGTAGGGATGAAAGTTCACCATCTTGGGATATCATCTTAACATGTAGCTTTTGAGCTGGTCCCAGCAGGGGAAGAGTAAATTTAACACCACTCTTAACTGTCTCTGACTACAAATGCTACAAGTGATTTCCACTCATGATTCATTTGCTCCACTCAGGGCCCCACCCATCTGCAAGGAAGGCTGGGAAATGTAGAGGAGTATTTGGATGTTTGGTGAGCAATGCTATCTCTGCCAGAGAGTTCATCTGCAACCATGCTATATTATATTACCCTATTCCTTTCTATTGACATCTATGAGTACTCGGTATTTGTGAAACATGAAGGATTTAGAAAAGTAGGTACAAAGATGACTCAAATGTGATCCTCTGTCTCTCAAGCAGTGTGACATCCATTAGAAGCAAACTAAATGAAAGTAATGGGAAACATAGCATCAGACAGACCAGTTTTAATTCTGGTTCTGCCATCTACTCACGCTGTGGCTGTAGACAAAACTACTTACTTTCCTTGAATTTTAGTGTCTCCTCTTATATGACAGGAGTGGTGATATTCTAGGCTTCTTGGCTAAAAACAACCCCAAAAAAGTACACATGGAGCCCTGCAGGGGTTAGCACCCATTCACAGTATGCATGAATATAGTTCAAGAAAGAATACTGTCACGCACTGTTAACGGAGAAACACAAAAGTAATTATTTTGGACTGACGGTGTCTGGCAAATCTTCACAGATGAAGAATGGGTAAGATTCAAATGGGGACAGGGAAGGTGAGTTAGAACAGACAGAAAGCTTGTTGCTGTGTTCCACTGAGTCAGTTCTAGCCCGTGGCGAGTGACCCTACAGGACAGAGCAGATCTGCCCCGCTCGTGGTCTGACTGAGAAAGGCTGGCCTTCGGGTTAGCCGCTGTGCCGAAAGTGGCATGTTTTCACCTGATCCTCTGACTGAAATGTAGAGCTTATGAAGGAGTGAAAATAGGGAAGTTGAAGTGGCCCTAATTACCATGCTAAGGGATTTGAAACGTCTTTGACATCTCTAGGGAGCCACCAGCGTCTTTTGATTACCTGAAAGTTAATCAACAGTATAGATGGTGAGAGCTGAAGATGAACGGATAAGGGTGCCACCTAGAAGGTGATTCTCAACATGGGTCATGGGAATAGACTGTTAGAGGTGGAATGTATACATGGAGTTTAAAACCTTTTAAAAAGGACATAAGTGTTAGACCTTTTTTGCACTCAAGAAGCTGTTTAGCGAGACTAAGTATAAATACAAACAGCTTTCCTCTTTCTTACTGATTTTGCAAGCAATTCCTTTTTCCAGTGATTTCTCACATTCCTGTTCTACGTCCACTGATTTCTTTCCCGTTGAACTGCTGTGTATGGCTTGTCGGACTTCTGCTCAGCTCTGGGTCCTCCGCCTGGCATTTCCTGGAATCTGGCTTCCCCTCCCCTGGGTGAAGAGGTTCTCGTGGGCGGTGCACGGGGTTGCCCATAGAGCTGTTTACTTAGTCGGACACTTCACATCCTCTTCATTACGGGCCTTTAGTGAACGAGTGGGGCTTTATTCTCCGGCAGAGCCACTAGGAAAATTGTCGCAGAGTGTAATTACATGAGAAATTTTAACTCTTAAATAGCAAGGGGAATATTGCTAATCCCCCCCCATACCTGAGGGGACGGACTACGGATTACTAGACACTTGAGGATTGCGAGTTACTGGCTGCCCTTCACCCCCTGGCAGGAATATTGAAAGAATGGCCCTGTGTTTGGTGGTTAATGGCTCTGCTGAGCTCCTGAACAGTCTCCTAGCAGAATGGTTCACTTCCCTCTGGGGCAGAGCCCTGATGTGGCAGCAACACAAAAGGCTGGAGCAGATTTAGAGCATGACTAATTGTAAATGATAGCGGGGTTCCTTTTACGTGAAATAAGATGTGTGTTCGTGACGGTTTCCACTGTTAAATACCTGGATTACAGCCCTGGTGTTGTAGCGAGCAGTGGGGGACTGATACTTCCAGAACACTAAAGCAGTTTCTTTTCTAGCTGAACCATGGACGTTTCTTGCATGCGGGGACCCAAGCACCCCAAAGCATTGCTGCCCGCCTAGATGACCAGGCTCCAGGTGAGAGCCCTAGAGCTCTTTCCCGCACCCGAGAGTGTGACCCGGTGAGTTACTCCCACATGCCTGGCTTTTCACAGGGCTTATCATGGGTGCTGGGAGCTCCTTTTCTGTATTGGGAAACTGCAACCCAGAGAACTGAAACCCATTTACCTTCAGTCAGATAGGTAATGTTGCTGAGGCAGCGCTCTGGAGCCCAGCTCTTCCCAGTCCCCGTGTGACAGTTGAAGGGGCATGAAGCACTGAGGTCAGGACACATCTGGGTGCGCTCATTCCTATCAGTGAACTCACCATCAAACCAAAATACCAAACTCATTGTCATCGAGTCATTGGACTCATAGCAACCCCATAGGACAGAGCAGACTCGCCCCTGTGGGTTTAGACACTACCTGTCTTTAGAGTAGAAAACCTCTTCTTTCTCCCACGAGCAGTTGGTGGTTTCGAACAGCTGACCTTGTGATTAGCAACCCAACTCATAACCTCTACACCACCAAGACTCCTCATGAACTCACCACAGTACCCAAGATTTTGTTGGACACAAAGTAGTCACACAGGTCAGGTTAGCTGTTACTGATCTTATTTTATGATGGGTTAGCAAACTTGCCTCAAAAGAGCACATATTTTAGGCTCCAGCACCATAATAACCTCTGATGTAACTCTTCAATTCTGCCATAAATGAGTGTGACTGTGTACCACTAAAACTTTATTTACAAAAACATGGTTCCTGCCTGTTATTTACCAACCCCCAGTATGGAGGATCCCAGAGAAATTAAATTTACCAGCCTGGGATCACACACAGAGCTAAGAGTAAGGCAGTTACAGACCCGGTTGCCTCATAACCAGGCTGGTACTCTTCCACGTTTGTACGTGGATGTCTGGAAGGAGAATGACTGATTTGTTGGGAGAAGAGCAGCCTCTCTCAGGATGAAGCCAGGAGCCCAGCAGTATTGTGTGGGGTGTTTGCCAGGTCAGGCCCCATTAGGCTACATATTGATAGCTTCCCCCTTTGCCAGCATTGCTGCTGATGCTCATCAATGACATTATATCTATGTGGTCTATGCTAAAATGTGAGGCTTTTCTTACTCCATTTCTGCCCCTGCCAGCCCCCCAACCCCATACTCTGAATCTTTTCATTTTAGCATAAGCTGCGTGTAAGGGGAAAAGAAGCCCAAGACTCCAAACCCCATCTCAGCACAGTCTTTGCTATTTACGACTCTAGCGTTCACCTATGTTCACAAGCACAAAATGAAATGGAATAAATGAATGAAGTCATTGAAGTGTCTTTCGGCTTCCTCTGTAATTGTAGTCCTTTTATCTGCCAATTCCTCTGGGGTTTCTATGGAAACAGCAGCTTGCAGATGAGCTTGTCACATGACTGGAGCATCTTTATCCACAGCGCAGAAGAATCCAGATGGCAAGAATTGTCTCTGGCACCCCCACATCTAGGGTTTACGTTGCTGAGCAACTAGCTTCACCACCAGCTTCATACCGTGTTGACTGGAAAGAGACAGCTAGCATTTTTTTGTCTTAGATAAGAAATGGGAAATACCGTTGGTAGCTCTGAGACATGTTTCCCCGACCTGGTCCCTCTCCCCTTCCCCAGCATCTGTCACGTTGGCCCCGTTAGACCTGTTTGCTTTTTTATCTCACAGGCCAACCATGGTGAGCAACATGAGGGTCAGCACTACAGCATCTCCCTCCAGGACATGAAGACTGTTTTCCCCCACGGCCTGCCTCCTCGTTATGTAATGCAGGTGCTCAAACAAGGCTGGGAGCTGGGGCCAGAATGCAAGCTACTGGGAGCAGAGGAGTGGGGGTCAAGTGAATCGAACACTGTAAAAGAGGAAACTTGAATTTGAAAACCAGATAAATGTAGCTGTTGGTTGTCTCTTACGGCGAACGCATTTACTGCAGTAACCTAAAGCTGGGTTTTTTTAATTGTTCTTTCTGTTATCCATCCTAAATCTTTTTTCTTTTTTGGTATTAGGTAAAGTATTGTTAAATAAATAATAGTCACCTGTTCTCCTTGGGTTAGCCCACAGGTTTCTAGAAACGTTGGCATTCCGATCAGTGAATTTGGTATTTCCTTATATGGGAAATAGAGCTGTCCTGTCATGGGCTTTGGTCCCCACACCTGTCACAGGGCTCGTGGACTGCACACAGCCCTTTCATGCTAAATTTGAAGGAGCCTGTTCCAGCCTCTCCAGGTGCACATTACAGAAATGAGATTCCTGCCAGGTGCTTGTGAGCCGCACAGAGCAGTCCGTGTGTGTATCGGTGTGTACTCAGGGTGAGAGGGGAGGGCATTTCCGGTCAAGAAACCTGGGAAAGGGAATCCGCACTCTCATCCCCACCAAGAAGCTTCACCAGCATATCTGGTCCTAAACACAAATTCCTGCCTCACTCACAGTGAAGGGGGGCAGGCTGTGCTCAGACTGCCCCCTAACTTTTCCTGGGACCCCAAGAAAGAGAAAGGCTGCTAACATTTTAGGTATACTCATTCTCCATTCTAGATAGCTAGCGACATGAACTTAGCGCTGTCTGGAGGGCAGAGACTGACTGCACCAAGGCTGGTTCAGAGAGCACCTTTCCCCTGAGGCCGGACAGGTAACACCTTGGTAATTGTCTGTGGTCAGGCCTGGAACTATGCACCTAGATTTTTAGTCAAGAGCCAAACTCTTCAACTCCTCTCATTCATTGCGCACGTTGCCTTCAGACTGGCGTAACCACCAGTGAGTGTGCTGGGGGATGACTTGTGCGTGGTGATTTCTGCGATGCCCATCGTAGAGAGGGCAGCTCTCCCACCCTGTCTGTGGGGCTTCGGGTTGGGGTACCTGATGATGGCCTTTTGTTCTGCTGGCTGCATCACCTGTTGAAGACTGCGCTGTCCGTTAAGTTCGGCCTTAACCAGTCAGTTCCTTCTCCAACCCAATCGTTCTGTCAACTCATCCAATACACTTGCAGACAAGTGTTTATTGTTATTAGTAGACATGGTGAAGTTCTTTATTTACAAATCTCTTTCACACTTCCCAAATATTTTCAATCCAATTTTTGCTGGCCAGAGGTGGAAAACGTCCGTCAGTTGGTGATGTCATGTCGGGGATTCCTTGAAGTTGTGGGGAGCTGGCCACACCTGCTCTTGAGCTCTGGGTACTGGACATGATTCTCCCTTGAAAAATTAAGTGGTTAGAATAATAAATTTCACCAAGAACAAAGATAACTAACATTTATTGAATGTTGGCCGTATGTCAGATAATTTGCTAAGTACTTTACTGTATATGTCAACCCTAAGCGACCTATGTTGGGAGATGTGTAGATTACTTAGAGATTTCAATGAACTGATGTTAGATCTGTACTTCTTTAACAGGAATAATAAAAAGCTGGCTTTTCAGTGACGGCTTGTCGGGTGGTAATGTGTTTCCATCTTAAGCTAAATTACATGAGCTAGATTTTCAAATTCAATACCAACTCCTCCTCTCCCAGCTGAGTAAATTAAAGCCTTCCATTTGGTGCCCTTGCTTGCTGCATTGGACTCAGGGTGTCTAACAGGAACGTGTTAGAGCTGTGCACCCCGCCCTCTTCTCCCGCTGTCTAGGTGAAGACATTCGGTGAAGCTTGTCTGATGGTCAGGAAACCAGCCCTAGAGCTTCTACAGTACCTGAAAACCACCAACTTCACACACCCGGCTGTGCGCTATGTTCTCTGTATCCTTCTCTGCTGCTGCGTGCGGCCCTCTGAGCAGACACGGATGCAAATGTGCTCCTTCTGGTGCTGTTTTCTTTAACAGCACATGCTGCAGATGGGGAGAAGGGCACGGGGAAAACCCTCAGTCTCTGCCATGCGGTCCACTTCTGTGCAAAACAAGACTGGCTGGTCCTGCATATTCCAGATGGTAAGCCCTGCCTAGCTTCACTGTGTCACAGCCATCCTGGTGCTGTGGTCACCTTGTGGCTGGAATTCTCTGACAGGATCTGAGAGCTGAAAGAAAACCCTTTGCCTGCGCCCAGGCCAGTCTCAGTGAATTCATCATTTCTTCATAGTATTGGGCCCAGAGGAAAATCCGCTCAAAGCTACCTGGAATGAAGTGTTGGGGCTCAGCACCCCTCACTTGGAGAGCTAAAGCCTACGAGCTGGACCTCCTGCTGCAGAGGTTCAGGCTTTGTTGTCTGTTGGCTGTTGTTGAGTCCCTCGGTCTTTGGCATGTGGCTGTGCATCTCCGTTCCAGGATGGTCACCGTGGGTCTTAGAAACTGCCCCCTTCACACCTCTCTTCCAGGTTGTGTGCATCTGTATTTTCTGACTTGGGTTTGTAAGCCATCGAGAAACAGACCGCATCTGAACTATGTGGTGTGCCTTGTGTAGTAATCATAACAGTGGGCCATGCAAAACAGAAATGCCTGAAGCAAGGAGACCTTAAATGTATAAAGGGGCCTCAACAAGTTCATGAGAAAATGCTATTTTTTCATTCCACTTTTCCAAACCATGTTTGAAACCCTCCTGTGTGGGGGAAACTAAAGCCACTTCCCATACCTTAGAGGGGCGTTGAGTATTTTGAGTTACGTACATTCTGCCTATTCCATTTTCTTGTGGTTTGTTTTGTTTTTCTCAGCTCATCGTTGGGTGAAAAATTGTAGGAATCTTTTGCAGTCCACCTACAACAAACAGCGCTTGGATCAACCTTTAGAGGCTTCGACCTGGCTAAAGAATTTCAAAACGTCAAATGAGCGCTTCCTGAGCCAGGTGACTAGACTCCCAGATGCACAGTGCTGGGCAGCCGTCACGAGGAGTCTCCCCACTTGGGGTCCTGAGGACCCAGTTGATAATACTATAGGGAATTAGTATTGCAGTTGGGATGATGGTACCATGTAGTACATTTTCTTCAAGGTGGAGGCCACCTTGAAATTCATTTGCCCTCGTGAATAGCACTAACAGGTTGACCTTTTGTGAGTGGAAGACGGACGTCCAGAATGATTCGTTGACTTTCCTAAGGTCACAGCCTCCCCGTCTTCTACAGACACATTTTCAACGACGTCACTTTTCTGGGTAAAAGTGGAGAGCAAATGTTTTGAGAATGATGAGGGCAATGAATGTACAAATGTGCTTTACACAATTGATGTATGCCTGTATGGATTGTGATAAGAATTGCATGAGCCCCTAATAAAATGATCTTTTTAAAGTCCCAGGCAGACATAGACCAGAACGTGTTCATTTGCATAGAGAAATCTCTTACAGGGTCTGGGACAAAAGAGGAAAAGCTGGTTCCTACTAACTTGGCCTTCCTACTTCCTCAGCCCGGGGTGGGCTGGTACTCAGGCTCTAGTAATTGGGGTTTTTTGCTTGTAGATAAAAGTTGAAGAGAAGTATGTCTGGAACAAGCGCGAGAGCACAGAGCAAGGCAGCCCTCTGGGAGAAGTGGTTGAACAGGTCAGATGAAGGAGACAATGTGGAGTGTGGAGTGTGTCCAACCCAGAGAAGGCCACTCCAGGGCCTGAGCCACTCACTGTCCGTCTCACGCCCTCTGTCACAGGGCATTACGCGGGTGAAGAATGCCACAGATGCCGTGGGGATTGTGCTGAAAGAGCTCAGAAGGCAAAGTGCTTTGGGTGCTTTTCACCTCCTGGTGGCAGTGGATGGAGTCAACGCTCTCTGGGGGAGAACCACCCTGAAGAGAGAAGATAAGAGCCCGGTAGGAGCGCTGGGTTTCTCTCAGTCGGTTTCTGGTTCCGTCCTTTGCAGAAACGGTGACGTAGCCTTCTAGACCATGAACATGTTTTCTTGTCAATCAAATCCACTGCCATCAAGTTGATTCCAACTGGTCAGAACCTCATGGGTCAGGGTAGAACTGCCCCTGTGCGTTTCTGAGACTGTAAACTCCAGGATCAGATTGCCACGTCCTTCTCCAGCAGGGACGACCGGCGAGTTCGCACTGCTGACTGGTTGGCAGCTCAGTGCACAGACTACTCCACCACCAGGGCTCCGCCGCCCAGAGTTTGTGCAGTGAACTGTGCAGTGGGAATAGTGCCAGACGGGCGCCACTTTCCATGGGGACTAAGGCCATATGGTCTAAGTAGAGAAGACCGAGGGACGGTGGTTTGGGATAGTGGGCACTTTCTCCCCTGCTGACTGTCTTTAGTCTCTAAAAAGAGGGCAGTCACGGCTCTAGCTTTCTGTCTCTGTAATTGCACATCTCCCTTCCTTTCTACACCCCTTCCACTCAGTTTCAGCTCAGAGAACAGCTTCTCCCCGAGGAAGGGCTTGCCTCCAGGGATGCTACCGTTGTATTCAGATTGAGGGTTGTTTTACTGGTGTTAATTGACACTTGTCTCAGAAGCCCAGGAAAAACAAATCATGATCTCTCTTTCTCTCTCTCTCTCCTTGGCCAATGTGCAGATAGCCCCAGAGGAACTAGCGCTTGTTCACCATCTGAGGAAAATGGTGAAGAATGATTGGGTGAGTGCCTACAGTCCTGACACATTTCAGGAAGAAAGTGTGTTTTTATTGTAAAGATACTCTACTACTTCATTGCTAATACTCTTTCCAATCCTTAAGTAGTATCTTACCGACCTCCCCACATCTGTGCCAAGCTAAGAGTAGAGACTGGATCAAAATCCATGTGTTGGTTCCTGATCTTTTCCACAAGACTGGTGTAAGCTTATTATGCACAGCCAGTTTATTTAAATATTGGCCCAATTTTACTTTGTAATTGTTTAAAGTATTTGTTTTGTTTTTTATCTTCCCATCATCTTCAGAAAAAATTTTAAGATGCCGAAGTACGTCTTGATGGATTTCAGAACACAGGGCAGCTGCCCGTCAGAGCCAAATTGAGAACCAATGCCCACGTTCATTGCCATTTAGCTGTGATGGCCACCCTCGCCCCCAGCCCCACCCCGGCTGCAAATGATGAACACGCAGTGTTTCTTCGTTGTTTTTCATAACGCTGCTCTTCTCCCTTCTTTCAGCATGGAGGCGCCATCGTGCTGACTTTGAGCCAGACTGGCTCGCTCTTTAAGCCCCGGTCAGCCTACCTGCCCCACGAACTGCTGGGAAAGGTGAGCGCAGCCTGTGCCTATTGCCATTCTGTCTAAAGGGGCCATCACCCCGCTTCTCCTCGTCGTGTGCATTTTGATGTCACTTCGGCCTTCACCCAGACATCCAGAAGGCTGGCATTTTGCCCTCTTTGCTTTATCCTTTTCCTTCTATTTCTCTACACGTTCCCAAAGTTATATTACAGTAACCTGAAGGTATGGTTTTGCTTTATCTCTAATTTCTTCAATATATTTTCCTAAAGATAATGATACTCTGTTATACGGCCACAGCACGTTGCCCGGTGTAATGCTGTTAACTAATCTGTAGGATTTATTCTGATTTTGCCGATGCTCCAATAAGAACCAGACTCACTGCCATCAAGTCTGTTCCGATTCATGGCCACTGTAATAGGGTTTCCAAGGTTGTAAGTCTTTCCAGGAGCAGAGCCCTGGGTGAGCTTAGGTGGCCCCCTTGCTGTGATGAGCAGTTCCACACTTCCCCGGTAGCCCCACTGCCCCCACGTCCTTCATTTAAAAAGAAAGTCTTGGACCCTACGGTGACGTACGTGCTCCTGTCATCTGAACTAGTTGCTCGGTCATCTTTTCTGATCTTGGTATGATTGAAGGTTATTGGTTCCTACGTCCCGTCCCGAGGTTTCCTATTTCCTGACTTGATGTCTTGATCATGGTGGCTGGAACATCACAGAAGGGATGACGTTGTCTTCTTCGTGAAGCCCACCTTTCTTGTGACTGGTGATGCTGGTCTCCACCTGCTTTTGCCCCAAGAAACTTACTATTCTCCCTTTGCCATCAGCAAGCACCTGTGGAGATAGGTTTTGAGACTAGATAGATACATACCTGTTGCTTATCAAGCGTTCACAAACTTTATTTTAGCATCCTTGGTGAGTCTTCCATAAACTAGCTGACATTCAGTTGTTATAATAATAGGAGGACTGTGACTCAGTGGAGATTGTCCCAGCTCAGCCCTGGCAGAGTAGTGGTTACACATCTGGCTGCAACCTGCAGGGTCAGCAATTTGAAACCACCAGCCAGCTCCTGGGAGAACGATGGGGGTCTACTCCCAAAAAGGTTGACAGTTTATCAGGGGCAGGGGATGGGAGTGGGGTGGTGATATGATACCAAGGGCTGAAATAGAAAGAAAATATTTTTTTTTTTTTGAAAGAAAATATTTTCAAAATGATGGCAACATATGTACAAATGTGCTTGACACAATGGATGGATTGTGGTAAGAGCCCCCGATAAAATGATTTTTTTAGAGAATGTGACTGCTGAGGAACCTCACAGGGACAGCCCTGCCTGGTCGCGGGTCACTGTGAGTCGATGCCTGTTCAGGGGCAGTGAGTTTGGGCTTGGTTTGGTTTGGTCATGTCCCTAAATGTACCAGTCGTCTTCTGTCCGCGGGCACTCGCCCTTCTCCTTGCTTGTTTGTTCAACCCTGTCAGTTGGTCAGTGTCGCCGTGTGGATTCTTCCTAGTGCTCCTATCTTTAGTTGCTGTCTTCATTTACTTTGATGCTCAACTTATCTTGGACGGGGCACACAGAAGCCTCTTGAGCTTGACCCTCCTGCCCCTTTGACACGTCCCCACCGCGTGGAGCCCTTCTTCACCGTCCACACAGCCTGTTCCAGACTCACCTTGCACTTTCCAGGCCCCACCCGCTCCAACTCCGCCGTCTGTCCGAGGAGCCAAGCGTTCACTTAGAAGAGAACGGCCTTCACACACCAAGACCTCATCGCTGCTGACCCTCTCAGCAGAGCTAGTAAACGCGTCCTGTTCATCACCCTCCCTGCCCGCCTGTCTGCTGTTTGGGTTACGTGAAGAGCGGGGGGCTCACTGACCCTTCCATTTCCAGTCTCGCCCCACAGCACTCACCAGACCCCTGCACAGCTCCCACGAGCAGAGGCTGCCTGCTCTCATCCACCTTCCACTCACTCACTTGCTCAAAGTCGTTTCAGAATTACGCATGCTGGGCTCTGAAAAGGAAGCTTCTCATCACCAAATGTCACCACAGTTTGCTGCTTGTTCGTTTTCTCTTTAGCTAATAATCCGGGGTCCAGACGCCCTGTTTAGAGATGACTGTGTTAGCTCTGCCCGCTCCCCTTCAGTGGCAGGCTTGAAATGCAAAGGACCGATGGATGCATTTGTCTTCATTTCTCCCTTATGTATAACTGTTGTTTTCTTGTTACTGCTGTTACTCTTTTGCTGTGCTTAGTTTCCACGTTAAGCCTTGTGAGGGCTGTCTTTGTAAAGCACCACCTTTAGTGTGTGTAGGAATCGCTGCTTCGAGGGTCCGTGGAGACTCTTGGAGCGCCTCCCCTTGGATAAGTGGGACTGAGAGCAGTGGGCTCCCCGCTTGTCCTGGAACTAGACAAACACAGAGTCCAGCTGATCTGGGGCGGAGCGGAGTTCATTACTTACATCAGTAAGGAGGCCAGGGTATTACCCAGAAAAACTCGGTCTCCTTGAACGAAGAAAGGAAAAGAAGAGGCTGCCCATGCAGGGCTTTTCTGGGACTTAGTTTGGGGCGGAAGTAGCCAGCCGACCCCTCGGTTCTGAAGTGTGTCCATATAACGCACATGATATGGTTCTGGTGGATTTTGTGTCCTTGACCTGAGTCGTAACCTTCCAGGATCGGTCAAAGGTGGGGTCTTGTTCTTGTGCATGGCCCTGGATTTGGTACTGGTTCAGAGGTCTGTTTGCTAAGAAAGCTGTTTGGAAAGCGGGCGGTTGGCAGGAGGTGGGGAGTGGTATTCCTCCCGTGTGGTGAGATGTCCTTGAGTTGGCTCTGAGTCCTCTCCGCTGGCCCGTCCCTTGACGCCCTCCCTGTCGTCAGGGTGGAGCAGCACTGTGTCAGTCCTCCTCCGCGAGACTCGTCTTCCTCTTCCCCGGCCCACAGCACTGTCAGCGGGTGTCCTCCTCCAGGGACTGGTCTCGGGCGTGACGAGCCGCAGCGCCGCGCTCTGGAGCAGCGTCGGCTGTGCTCCCCCAGCCGCGGTGCTCAGTCTTCTCTGCCGCGCCAGCTCCTCTGCGGCCTCCCTATTCATCGCCCGGCTGTCACGCACGCACGCATCGGGGTGCTCCGTCTTCTCTGCCGCGCCAGCTCCTCTGCGGCCTCCCTATTCATCGCCC